AAGTATATGTACAGAGAAGCTGGAAGTTCACAATGCTACCAGTTGCTTATTCTTGGTAGAGCAGAAAACCATGTGTACACAGCTTTGAAGATGTGAAATAAAGACAGAAGTATGAAACTTAAGGCAAAAATGAGGTATATAAAGAGGATTAGATCCAGGTAAAACAAAGACAAAATTATATCTAGGTTTGGGTATCTTATTCCTCAATGGCCGTCAGGGTTATTGGGAAGAATGGAAATAGAATACAGTTGTATCTTCCATCACAGCTGCACCTGAATAACACGAAGATTACAAGAATACAAGAACCATTGTAACCAGATCCATCAACTAAAACTGTCAGCTGAAATTGCTGAGAAACACTGGCAAGCTACATATAACCTGGTATGAATTAGAAATTTGCCTAAAACTTGTGGGGGGGGGCGGGAGAAGGCAGAAGGGTGTAGGACTTTGATAATCTCATTTAGGGATTCTAAAACTTCTGTAGGGAGATCATTTAGAGCTTGGGTGAGAATTGCTACTACAGCAAATATCTCTCAAATACAAAATGATGATAGCATCTTTCTCCTGGATGTTCTTACATGGGAGGGATGTTAAGAGGATTTTATTGTTGTCACAAATCATTAATTTAATTAAGCAAGCATTTATAAAGTACCTGTTCTCATGACTCACCTTAAAGACTTGATTTTGAAAATCTGTTTGGAGAGCAGCTGACTATTTCAGTGCATATTTAAATACAGGCAAATGGATCAAATAATGTGTTGGGGAGCAGTTAGTAAGCGGTAGCACATGTGGAAGGCTTTCTTCAGACTATGGGGCTTCCTTTTTTTTTCCTATAGTGATTCAAAAAGCAGTACTCACAACCCACATACACTCAGCTTAGGCTGAAAGTTGGGGCACATAAAAGCTGACACAAGTTTCTGCCTTGTTTCATATGAAAATCAATCTTAGGGAAAAGCTCTCACCACCCACCATAAAATTAATTCAAATAAATTAATTCAAATATATTAATTCAAAAAAAAGACTAATAGTTGGGGTGAATTAAGAAAGCTGCGTTTTTTTTTTCATTAAAAATATGCGAAGTAGAAGAGTCAAGATAAAATATGTTGCATTTTAGAAATAGTGCATGTTGCTCATATACGGTTGACAAAAAAATGAACATAAAAGAGTGAAAACACTCATGCGAGGGCACGTGTGTTTGGGGAGTAGACTTTGCAGACAGTAAGACAAGTAAATTGTTCTCCATCCTCTCAGCCCCTTGCTACAATGTACCATCCAGGTAGACTGACCATCTGAATTACAACTGAGATCAAACAGCTTTCTGTGCCACAGTTTCCTCTTCATAAACAAGGTCATTTTAGTAGTTAGTCTTAGGGAAACTTTGAGGACATATAAACTATTAACTGAAGCATTAGGAGTTTTATACAGATTATGATGTCAGCAACCAGAGCTCTGTAATTATGGAAGGGGACTACCAGTACAGAAGCTGTGAAAGGAAAAAGCTATTATTCAATACACGGAAGAATTGTGACACTAAAGATGTGCCAGGAAAGGTTAACAGTGTGTTTGCTTGTTTCTGAGATAGAGTTTTGTTGAGTCAAGCCTGACCTTGGGCTTACTCTGAAGCCAAGACTGCCCTTGAATTTCTGATGTGCTTGTCTCCTTCAAAGTGTTGGGATTATTGGCACCTACTGCCAAAAACACTGAGGGCATTTTTTTTGTAAGAACTAGACAAGGGGATTGTATAGAGTAAACAGTATCTCAATCAATAATAATAGAAAAAAGATTTTCCTTTAAAGGTACATTGACCAGGAAACCTTCAGAGAGAGAGAGAGAGAGAGTTTGTGTGGGTAGACTTGAAGGCAAGCCTTAACAATCTGAATGAAGATTGCCTGAGTAGGTCTGTTGCTCTGGGTATTAGTTGTTCCCTATGCCACTGATGTTCTCTTTGCCAATCTTAAGCATGTTGCACGCAGTTTATCATTCTGTTCTGCATCTTAGAATGTTACCTCCTCAGATTGGGCTTCCCTGATTGAACAGCCATGCATTGCTACTTCATAGAACTCCACATCGTGTTTCTCATATGTTTTTAAGTGCCTGGAACACTATGAGCTTTTAGTTAACATGCTTAATGAATTAATGACCTCTAATAGACTGCACCTGAGTCCCCTCCTTGTAAATCTACATGTTAACCCTACCACATGGTTTGTGAGGATTCTATGAGACAGTACTATGTAACTCCAATACATTTGCAACATAATACTAGTATGAAATATGTGCCTATTTTCTGGCTTGGCTGCTATTATGTTCTATACCTAAATCCACAATGCAAATAGAAAATAGTAACTCTTCAAATAAGAATGTAATTTTATCCATCATCTCAATTTAATCTTTGTGAATCTTTTTGAATAATTTCTAGCTAATATCTCTTTCTCTATTTCTCTTCCATGCCTTCTTTTCCTATCCAATTTTTTTTAGAGTTTTCTTTTCCTTCACCTTTAACAGCAGCTGAAATTTAAAAAAAAAAAAAAAGCAAAATTCTGTAGCGTTTTTCTGGCAATTTCTCTCCTAGTTTTCTTCATAGATTGTATGCTAAAGGGACAGATGAGATAGAAATATGACTGTGCAAGATTGGTCTGAGTAACTTCAGTTGTTCTTTTCATTTCTACATTACAAAGAGGCATGTTCAACTTTGCTAGTTAGAAAAGACACTGAGCATCGATTTTGTGTGTGGGGAGAGGGGAGGATTGGGCAAAAAGCTGAATGTTGGCCAAGTCCCAAGAGCAGGCTGTTCTATTTGCTGTCTAAGATCTGTGAGACCATCTGTGGCTAGGAAACTGAGGTCCAGTTGATGCAGTCTGTGAGGTTTAGGCCAGAGCACCTGAGTTCTGTCTGAAGCTCTTGAGGAAACAGTGTGCTGGAACACATATGTTAGGGGCAGAAGATAAAGTTAAGGAGTTTAACTTTTAGACCCATGGACTTTTAGGCTTACGATCTTGGTAGTTAAGTGAGAGGAGTCCCAAAACCAAGGGAGAAATCCCATCCAAGCAGGCTGGAAAACAGGCTGTTTATTGGCAGTACTTATCTGGAGCCTGACCTGTTTATTCCAGTGGATCTCTGAAGCTTACAAGAATCTTTCCAAGTTTACAGAAAGAGACAATTTGGCTTGGGAGACAATTTAAAATCTGATTAATGTTAAAGTTCTGAACAGTCTTAATACAAAAATAGTAGCATAGTGGAGGGAAGAGTTTTTGTATATTTGAAATTACTTTTTTATCACCCACCTTAAAACACCTTCTCATACCCTCAAACACTCTATCAGAAGCTCAGACCTTACATAAACTGTACATTTTTGAGAGGGCAGGTTTCTGCTTAGTTTCTGCTATTAAACTGATCTTCAAACGCATCAGAAACCCGAGAAAGATAAATTATCCCAGGAAGCACAATCCAAGCGGCCTATGTATTGATTAATATGACAGGAGCTTACCCATTATCCAGATGGTCCAGTGCCCCCATTGTCAGCTGGAAGTAGCCAGAAAAGATTCTTGACCTATTATCCATTTATTATCAACAAAAGCCTGAGAAGCTAAAGTCCCTACCTGCTGCAGGGTATGGCGGCCAAACCCTGTCTTCTACCTAGTGTAAGGGCTTTTCCCCAAGAGGCCCTTCACTATATAATCCAGACATCTTGGTTCTGCTACCCTTTTTGCCCTGAACCCTTTATTTCCTTCCTGCTCTGCCTGCCCCTGCCAGCACACATTCTCCATCCCCTTCTGCATCCCTTGCTGCTCCAATAAACCTGCATTTATATAACATTTATTTATTTATTTATTTATTTATTTATTTATTTATTTATTTATTTATTTATTTATTATATAAAAGACACTGGAGGTTCTGCTAAAAAAAAAAATATAAAAGGTCACTAGACCACCATGGCACAACTTGCAATTCTGGAATGAGACTGTGTCTTTTAACATGAGATCATGTTACCTCCAGCCGAGTTCATTATATCATTAATGTATTGGACAAGAACTTTGATGAGACCTTAGTTTCCTTCTTAAAAATTATGCTATACTTAAAGAAATAATACACTAAAACTGTGGATTTTATTATTTTTCCACCTTCAGTTACTACACTAAGACAGGTACCAACCTGGAAGTCACACATACTGAGTTCATTTATTCATCTGACCTAGTCAATGGTACAAAAAAAATGTTCCTGGAGTTATTAGGTGGTGGAGAATACAAACAGTAACAGGACCACACTGAATAAAGGGAAAATTACTTTAGAATCCTTCGCTTTATCTCTGCAGGATTTTAACAAATCATGTTGATTTGAACGCAACTTATTTAGTTACTATGTGCATTCCATTAATAGGTTAGTAAACAAGGCTGTAGGGCCAGGGCATCATCTGCTGAGAAACATCATTTCAAAACTGTAGCATATCAAAAGCAAGTGACTGAGACATTATTTTCTCTGTTTTCTTCCCTGCAGATCCAGAATAGAAAAAACAGTGTTAAGGAATGCTTCATGAGTAGAATCCTAGAAGATATTTGGGCTACTTGTGAGTTTCATGCATATTCTCATATTAGAATCATTTCTCTCAACTATTAGGCTTCTGGCTTGACTTAGTTAGGTCCATATTTGTAAATACCAACATAAATTCATTTACTTATTTATTTATTAGCACATGTGCATATGTGTTGTGTGTGTATGTGTAAAATATGTGCCATGTTACATGTGTGGGAGTCAGTTTTTTCCTTCCATCATGTGGGTGCTTGAGATTGAAATTACATCATCACGGTTAGCTGCTAGCACCTTTATCTGCTGAGCTATTTCACTGCCCTTGCCTCCCTTTCTTACAGGTTCTTTTATTCAGTTGTTTTATGCAGTCTTGATTAAGTAACTGACAGCACCAGTGCAGAAACTCCTCCCAATCATCTTAAGAGTCTTGACCTTAAGCACATATTCACTACTGAGGCAAAATGGTTGCCACCTAGAGGATGGGCAACCACACCACAGTGACCATGTTCATTCTGTGGGGATTTTCCAGTTTCCCAGAACTGCAGAATATACTCTTTGCTGTGATTCTTCTCTCCCATGTGACCATCCTCCTAGCAAATGCATCCATCATGGTGGCCATCAAGCTCAACCACAGCCTTCACACCCCCATGTACTTTTTCCTCTTCGCCCTGTCCTTTTCAGAAACCTGCACCACTATGGTGATCCTGCCCCGCATGTTAGTGGACTTGCTATCAGAGAGCAAGGCCATCTCTCTCCCTGAGTGTGCCACCCAGATGTTATTCTTCTTTGGACTGGCAGCCAACAACTGTTTCATTATGGCTGCCATGTCTTATGATCGTTACACTGCCATCCACAGTCCACTGCATTACCACATTTTTATGACCCAAAAGGTCTGCTTTCAGCTCATGATAACTTCCTGTGTGACTGGGTTCCTCTGTTCTCTTGGCATCACCTTCACCATATTCAACTTGTCTTTCTGTGATTCCAACAATATCCAGCACTTTTTCTGTGACATTTCACCCTTGGTTCACCTTGCCTGTGATTACACTGCTCACCATGCAATGATTATTTTTTTGCTCTCTGCATTTGTGCTGGTGGGAAGCTTTGTTTTGATCATGATTTCCTATGTCTTCATACTATTCCTAGTTGTAAAAATGTCTTCTGCACATGGGAGGCAAAAGGCCTTCTCAACATGCTCCTCCCACCTCACAGTTGTGTCTGTGCACTATGGATTTGCCTGTTTTGTCTACTTGATACCCAAGAACACTGACTCCTTCCGTGAAGATATGCTGATGGCTGTCACATACACAGTACTGACACCTTTGCTTAATCCCATAATTTATAGCCTAAGAAACAAGGAAATGAAGATAGCCCTGAGGAAGGTAGTAGGCCATATCAATAAAAGTTTGCCTTGCCTGACAATTAAAAATAACCCTGAACATTTTAAGAACAACAACTGAGCACTGACAATAGTGGGAAATTGGGCATTTCCATCAAATCCCATTATTCAATTGACAAAACAATTAAAGTATTATCTAACTATCTGAATCATCCTGGTATCACCACTTTCCTACAGCAAATAGATTTTTTTAAAGATTTATGGACACATGTATACATTTAGCAGACACGTCGTAATGCTTTCATGATTGTAATGCTATTTTCATGATCACGCTTGCTTTGGTGGAAAAGAAAATTGTTATATTAGTGAGAAAAGATAAAAGAAAAATTAAGGAAGATGGATATAGACAGAGAAACAAAAGTGGAAGAGATGGGGAGGGAGGAGCAAAGTGAGCAGAAATTGGCAGTGTGGCTGACAGTGGGGGGAGTATAAGCTCTTCAAGATACAACAGAGAATTAGATATGATCACAATACTGAAAAATTTAAGGTTGACTTGAGAGAATGACTTATTCCTATTAAAATCAGAGCTTAAAATATAATGGATATATTCCCACAAAAAATAAACTGATAAATAAAATCCCAGATCAACAGACTATTTAAAATATTGTTTAACTTTTTACTGATTCTTTGTGACATTCACAACCACGCATTCCAATAACACTCACTTTCCTGTGCCTTCGTATCTGTCCTCCACACTTGCAGCCCCTCCTCAAAAAAATAAAATAAGAAAAAAATCTTGTTGTGGAAGCAGTAGTGTGTTCCTGTGTGTCCACAGTACACGATTTTGTCCACACATCCTTATTGCAATGAGTCATCGGTCTGTTTTGAGGCCTCTGGCTTCTGTTACACTGTCTGTAAAGTATCCTCACAGGGACTCCTCTCGAATACTGTTGCTGCCCTGTGTCATGGAGATCCTGCCGCTTTGAATCTGAAGGACCAGCCCTTTTCCGTGTTCCAGCAAATCATTGATGGGGTAGATGTCGAGGTGGGCCAACTCAAAGTCCTGGATCTGGGCCTGGGAGGAAGCTGAGTTGATCAGACTGCCAGCTCACCTTCTGTGTAAATGCTGTCTGACAGGTCATGCAGGTTCTGCACGAGGGGCATCAGACCACATAACGTGGGCAAGAAATGTTAATGCTGCATTGTCTACATCTTGCAATGGTTGCACTCGATTCCTGCTCACTAGCTAACCTCAGTTTCCCTGACCACTGTTGATGTCAACCTTTCTGTATTACTTAAATATATATGACTTACAGAAAAGTGTTTTCAAGCCTTTCCTTACTTTAAGTCAAGATATTTCTGGAACTTTAAGTGTTTTTATGAACTTAAACACACATCTCTAGCCAGATATATGTAGTATGCAATTTTATCCCACAATTCAGCTTTTTTTTTTTTTTTTGCTTTCTTTATAGTTTTCCTTAAAGTGCAGCTTTTTTTTTCAGTAAGGTTTCATTTGTATTAATTTTTGTTCATTAGCTAGATATCATAACTAGGAACCCACTTCTTAATCTGGCATAGAGTGAAAATTAATGATAATTTTATAGATTAAGCATTATATCTATATTTGCACTCCATTTGGTTTAAGTTTTGCATGTGGTTTGTGGTAAGATTCCAAACTTAAATTTTTGCATGTGGATATTCAGTTAAGTCAGCAGCATTAAAATCCAGCTAGCTCAATTCTAGAAGTAAAGGAAATATCATTGCCTTTCTACTTTATCTTATCTCCTACAAACTTCCTTGATTTGTTAGTCTCTACAGTTTTAATATATTTCTAAAATTTCCCATATGTTTCTGTTGGCTAATTGGTAAACTATGCCATATGCAAATGTAGATAACTTCATTTTCCATCACACACTAGATGCTGCTTATTTTGGGTCCTTGTAAATTGTCCTGCACTGTTAAATAGTGGTGTTTCATAGTAGGCTTCCTTGAGCCTACCCTATCAGCTCTCATTAGGACTGGTTGGATTCTCTTCTTCTGTGGCCTGGTAAGGCTGCTCTCCCCTCATGGGGAGGTGGTCAAAAAGACAGCCACTGAGTTCATGTCAGAGACAGTCCCTGTTACCCTTACTCCCGAGAACCCTCTCGGACACTGAGCTGCCATGAGATACATCTGTGCAGGGATTCTAGGTTATCTCCATGATTGGTCGTTGGTTGGAGTATTAGTCTCACAAAAGACCCTTGTGTCCACAAATTTTTATTCTGTTGCTCTCCTTGTGGAACTCCTGTCCCCTCCAGGTCTTTCTATCTCCCCTTTCTTTAATAAGATTCCCTGCACTCTGACCAAAGTTTGGCTATGAGTCTCAGCATCTGCTTTGATACCTTGCTGGGCAGAGTCTTTCAGAGGCCCCCTGTGGAAGGATCCTGTCCTGTTGCCTGTTTTCTTCCTCTTCCAATGTCCATCCCATTTGCCTTTTTGAGTGAGGATTGATCATCTTACCCAGGGTCCTCCTTCTTGCTTAGCTTCTTTAGGTGTACAGATTTTAGTATGATTATCCTATATTATATGTCTAATATCCTCTTATAAGTAAGTATATACCATGTGTGTCTTCCTGTTTCTGGGATACCTCATTCAGGATGATCTTTTCCAGTCCCACCATTTGCCTGCAAATTTCATGATTTCCTTGTTTTTTAATTATATTCTTTTTAATTAATTTATTTTTTATCAATTACAGTTTATTCATTTTGTATCTCAGCTGTAGTTCCCTCCCTCATTCCCTCCCACTCCCACCGTATGCCCCTTCTCCTATGCCCCTCTCCCAGTCCTTTGATAGGGAAGGTCCTCCTCCCTTTCCATCTGACCCTAGCCTATCAGGTCTCATCAGGACTGACTTCATTGTCTTCCTCTGTGGCCTGGTAAGGCTGCTGCCCCTCAGGGGGAGATGAGCAAAAAGATAGCCACTGAGTTCAAGTCAGAGACAATCCCTGTTCCTCTTAGGAAACAGATTCCTAGGGTAACCCACTTGGCTACTGAACTGCCATGGGCTATGTCTGAGCAGGGGTTTGTTCTAGGTTATATCCATGAATGGTCCTTGGTTGGAGAATCAGTCTCAGAAAAGACCCTTGTGTTCAGATATATTTGGTCCTTGTGGAGCTCCTGTCCTCTCCAGGTCTTACTAACTCCCCCTTCTTTCATATGATTACCTGGACTCTGCCCAAAGTTTGGTTATGAGTCTCAGCATCTGCTTTAATATACTGCTAGGTAGAGTCTATCAGAGGTCCTCTATGGTAGGCTCCTGTCCTGTTTCTTGTTCAGATAGATTGACTTCCAGATTTCTAAGGAACTGCCATACTGATTTCCATAGTGGCTGTACAATTTTGCCCTTCCATCAGCAATGGATGAGTGTTCTGATTATTACATATCCTCACCAGCATGAGCTGTCATTTGCTTTACTGATCTTAGCCATTCTGACAGGTTTCAAGATGAAATCTCAAAGTAGTTTTGATTTGCATTTCCCTGATGGCTAAGGATGTTAAACATTTCTTTAACTGTTTCTCAGCAATTTGCCTTTTTTCTTTTTAAGAATTCTCTATGCACTCCCTTTTCAGTTGGATTATTTGGTGTTTAATATCTAGTTTCTTGAATTCTTTATATTTTGGGATATTAGTTCTCTTTTGGATGTGGAATTGGTAAACATTTTCCCCATCCAATAGGCTGCTGTTTTGTCCAAATGATGGTGCCCATTGCCATGCAGAATCTTATTACTTTTATGAGGTCTCATTTGTTAATTGTTGATCTTAACACCTGTGTTCTGTTCAGGAAGTTGCCTCTTGTGCCAATGAATTCAAATCCATTTTCCAGTTTCTCTTCTATCAGATTCTTTTTATCTGGTTTTATGTTGAAGTCTTTGATTCATTTAAAGTCAAGTTGTGGATCTATTTGCATTTTTCTATATACAGCTATCCAGTATGAAGAAGAGAACATAAAACGCCTGTGGCATCACTAGACTTTCATGGGTATTCACTTGTGGAATACACACTCCATATCCTTATAGAGAGGCTGAATATTTATTTCAGGTTTCAAACATCAATTAGCATCAATAATCACACATTGTGCATCCTATTCACCCACATGTGAGTGAATAGGACAGTCAAAGCATCTCTTATCTCTTCTGAATCTTACTATGTATGCATATGGTATAATTGTTTAAATGCAGTAAGATCTGGAGTAGAACATTATGTACCACCACGTAGGAAAATTAAGGAAGTAAATCAACTAACACTTTCAGTGTTGCCATGTGTCACACTAACACAATACAAATTTATGAATTTATGAGTAAGATTTGGTGATAGTGGGCTTTTACCAAGAGCTGCCTCATCAGAAAGCAGTCACAAAAACATTTTCTCCATGTGTTCTTTTTTTCCCCAAATTACTTTTATGTGAATTCTCAGGCTACAGCTTTACCTGATGAGAATGTACCCTAGACATCTACATAGGACATAAGGCTCTCAAGCCTTGGTGGGTTTTCAGAAAAATAAAGACTAAATGCCCTTGAGGGAATCACTCATTTTCAAACAAATTTCACCAAGTTGAATTTCAATTATTTTAGTTTTTTAAACTGACAAGAACAAAGTAAAGAGAGAGAAATTGAGAGAGAAAAAGATAGAGAGAGAATTAAAATAGTATCTTGTGGACATCAGAAAGAGTTGTAGGTCCACAGAGGACAGTTCTTCTGTTGGAGACACAAAACTCCAAGTGATGCAAGGTATAATGCTCAGGTGGCTTTGCAGATCTCATTAGCTCCAACCACAAGGAGCTAAAAGGACACTTGCCTGATGGTAGAAAAGAATTCAACTGCAGATAGAAGGGAACTCATCACAGATTTGCATAGGGAAAGGTGACTTAAAAATTTCTCCCTAAATGACATTACATAAGGAATGAGAAATTTGTGAATTATGTGTAAGTTCTTCATTCCCTCTTATTTTGAAAAGATTAGATGTTATTCTTCTTTGGTATGAGGTGGGAATTTATTTGTGCATTTTTATCTGTCATGAATAGTTTTTTAAAAATATCAAATAAAAACTAAATTTTGTGGATATTAATAGGAAAAATATGATGAGG